GGTGACAAACTGGAGCAAACCCAGAAGAGGGCAGTCAGTGGCTAGAGGTTTTTGAACCGCCTTAAGAGGATGACAGGTGTGGGAATAAAAAGGCAATTACAGTTGTCTGTTCACTGTCTATTCATTTTCCAACCTCTTCTATTTTCTGGTTATAGAAGTAGTACGTTCAGCTTCTATATTCACATCTTTACCTCCATCAACCATCTGGTAAAGGTTATCAGCTCAGTAGTACAATGGAATAGACCTTTTCCTCCTCCCTATTAATATTCCTCCTATGCTATCTGACCCCCAGAAATTAAAAGGAAGCTGACTTCAGGTCAGTGCAACATGCCTTTTAAACAATGACAGCCATGCATCACTGAGGTATTTTGGATGGACCTAAAGTGAGTCCATAGAGCCAGTCAAGGATCAAGTGGGGAATGGATGACTTCATCATGTAACATTTAAGTGCCTTATCTGTTGGGCACTTTGCAAAGCACTGGGGATTCAAGGGTGAACCAGAAGGATGATTACTGTCCTCTTGGACCTAACAACACAGTGAGGGAGAGTGACAAGTGATAAAGCAAATTTTTAAAAATAACACGATCAAATGCTGCTACTTTCCCCAGGTCTCAAAGCCAGATATAAAACATTGGATTTCAGGGAATCTCAGGGTGAGAGGTTAGGCTGTACATTCAGCCTCCTATTCTTGTACTCATTATCTGATTTCAAGTTTAAATGTTTTGTAGTGCTTTACATAAGTAGTTCTGGATCAGCATCAGAATCATCTCTGGAGCTTTCCCTAAATACACATACTACCTGACCCTGGAGGAAATTTAATTCCAGAACAAAAAGTAACTTTAAAAATTCTAATAACTACTCTAGGGGCACCTGGGTGGCTCAGTCGTTAAGCGTCTGCCTTCAGCTCAGGTCATGATCCCAGGGTCCTGGGATAGAGCCCCGCATCGGGCTCCCTTGCTTGGCAGGAAGCTTCTCCCTCTTCCACTCCCCCCTGCTTGTGTTCCCTTTCCCATTGTGTCTCTGTCAAATAAATCTTAAAAAAATTCTAATAACTACTCTCATAGAAATTTGGGCAACTATTGCATCCATAAAGTAAGAACATATTGTGAAAAGGGGACAGAATAGGAAAGTTCTCGGAACTTAAAACAGTTGTGGAAGTAAATGTAATGGCTTATAAAAGTGATAGATGTGCGCAGACATTTCTACAAAGAAGACCTACAGATGGCCAAGAGACACATGGAAAGATGTTCAACATCATAATCAGGGAAATGCAAATCAAAACTACAATGAAATATCACCTCACACTCATCAGAATGGTTAAAATAAACACAAGAAACAAGTGTTGGTGAGGATGGAGGAAAAGGAACCCTTGTGCATTGTTGGTGGGAATCAAACTGGTGCAGCCACTGTGGAAAACAGCATGGAGTTTCCCCCAAAAATGTAAAAATAGAACCACCCTATGTGATCCAGTAATTTGCACTACTGGGTATTTACCAAAAAAATACAAAAATACTAATTCAAAGGGATGCATGCACCCTAATGTTTATTGCAGCATTATTTACATTAGCCAAACTTCGGAAGCAGCCCAGGTGTCCTTTGATAGGTGAATGGATATATATACATACATACAGTGGGATATTATTCAGCCACAAAAAGAATGAAATCTTGCCATTTGCAATGACATGGATGGAGCTAGATAATACGATGCTAAGTGAAATAAGAGAAAGACAAATACTATATGATCTTACTCATATGTGGAATTTAGAAACAAATGAACATAGAAAAAAGACAAACCAAGAAACAGACTCTTATTAATAGAGAACAAACATGGTTGCTGGAGAGGAGGTGGGTGAGGGGCTGGGGGGAGATAGGGGATTAAAGACTACACATCATGATGAGAAAAAAACGATAAAGTATATAAAAAAGTGACCCTGAAGAGCCTAAATTAGAGAATTGCAAGATAAAACTGAGGAAATTTCTCAGAATATAATGATCAAGATATGGAAAAAGTTAATCATGGAAATGTCCAAGAATCAGGAGGTCTGACATTCATCTAAATTGCACCTTCAGAAATGAGAACGGGAACATGGAGACAGGAATAAAACCAAAGAAAACTTCCTGGACTGATGATGAAATTGGTGTTTTCAGATAGAAAGGGCCCGCAGAGAGTAAAGGTGCAAATGAGAGCAAAAATGAAAGGAAAACACACCTGGATGGAATCTCTAAGGAAAAGTCATTTATCTGAGAGAAAAACAGGTTACTTACAAAGGACTGTGATTCACATGGGCATTAGACTTCTCAAGAACAACTCTAGATAACAGAAGGTAAAATTGTAATGCCTTAAAAAGGATGCTTTTTTGTGTGGTCATGTGTATAGGAGATGCGTGGGTCCCCATTTTGTTCCCATAATTCTAGCTATGTTATAAAGGGTAAAACAAAGGCATTGTTTGCTTTCCATTCAGCTTTTCTGAAAAAGTTACATGAAAAATCTATCAAAGGGAAAAATAAATCCAAGAAATAGATGACTAATTAAAACAAAAAGCACCCAACCAAACACGAAACAGTGAAATAAATGCATTAAGAAGAAATCTTGATAATGTCGCTTTGCAGCACATTTGGAAAAGTAGATTCTGGGTAGAAGATCTTCAGGAAGAAAATAAATACTGTTACTCTGGTGTGCCTCAGATGAGATGAAGGCATGTAAAAGAGGTAAGTCAACACTTCAGGAAACACTAGGAGCTCCATAGGAACGATCTGACTCGTACAAAGCAAGCAAAAATAGCATTATTCTAAGCAATTCATGGAATAGTAAAAATAGTGTTTCTGAAAGAACCAACTCAAAGCTTTTGGTCCAATAAAGCAGGAAGAAGAAGGATTAACTAATATGCTGAATTCAGGTACAATCTCTGGGTTCACAATAATTTCCCCCATGACTTTGCTGTGCCGACTTTTATTTAATTATAGATAAGACTTTCCCTATCAACTGGTAGTAATGAATCACCTAAAAATTGGCTTCATGGGGTGCCTGGGTGGCTCAGTCCGTTAAGCATCTGCTTTTGGCTCAGGTCATGACCCCATGATCCTGGGATAGAGCCCCAGGACAGGCTCCCTGCTTAGTGGGGAGCCTGCTTCTCCCTCTCCTGCAGCATCCCTTGCTTGTGTGTTCTCTCTCTCTGTCTCTGTCAAATAAATAAATACAATCTTTAAAAAATCAGCTTCAGTTTTAAACTTTGTTCTTTGGTAGTATATTTTGACTTTTGAAAAGGTTGACTTAGTTTTACCACCTGGAAACTTAAGAGATTCCCTTTAAGAAACATGTTCAATAATTATTTTAAAAAATTAATGAAAACCCAAGATCTTATGTTCTTCAAACAGTATCTTTTTTTTTTTAACTTTAAAGGAATCTAATTTTAAATTCCTTTTTCTTTTTTGACAGGAAAAAAAAGCGCGCCCTAATTCCTGTTTTGCAGAAGCATTTATTTGAAGTTCCGCAATTCCTTTAGGTTCAGCTTTAGTTTCCTTGCGTTAATAAAATTACACTGAACGCATTGTAAAAACAAAACAAAAAAGCCGAGAGCTGTTGAATCATAACGTCCGAGGGTAAACCTGGTCATGCGAATTGTGAAAAGCACTGATTTTGAAGCACAGATTTAAATGTGCTTTCAGCATGTTTGGTCGGTTGCATTCATAGCAGCGTAAATAGTAAGATAAATGAATGGCATTGGCACTGACTTTGAACAGTTACCGACGCTCCCATTTTCTTTAGAGTAGCATCAGAGAGAGAGAGAGAGAGAAAGAGAGAGAGTGTGTGTGTGTGTACTTGCGTGTTTGAGAGGCGATGCATTTGGATGACCTTCGCCCTCTTCCCTACCCTCAGCATTTCTTTTGCGGGGGGAGGGGGGTGTGATTATGGGGGAGAGAGGGAGGACAAAGTGGTTAGGGCAGCTTTCACTGGCAGATATCTTACAAAGGGGTGAGCTGACCAGGCACAGCAAGGCTGCCTGCTGGGTCTCCAGATAAAGCCTATCTACCGCTTGGAAGGACTGCCTCTGCGGCAGTGGTTGACTCTCACTAGTCAGGCAGCGCAGACCCTGCCAGCTTAACCCCCACGATCTCTCTAGGCCTAGACATGCTCGCTATCGAAGTCCGGGGCTTAAGAAAGGGCTATGCCGGGCGCCTGGGTGGCTCAGACGGTTAAACGTCTGCCTTCGGCTCAGGTCATGATCCCAGGGTCCTGGGATCGAGTTCCGTATCCGGCTCCCTGCTCAGCAGGGAATCTGCTTCTCCCTCTCCCTCTGCCTCTCCCCCTGCTTGTTCTCTGTCTCTCTCGCAAATGAATAAATAAAATCTTAAAAAAAAAAAAAGGGATATGCCTCAGAAATGTGGCAGGGCTCTCTCGTCTATCGCAGTTTACGGGAGCATTGTCAAAAACAGCTCTTGAGCGAAATCTCAGACAAATCTTGTACAAGATGTAGCGGTCCGAACCAGAAAGCGTTTGAGTTTTCATCGAGAATAGGCAGAAGAATCTTCCCTCCTCTTCTTTAGCCTTATGTTAGGTAACAGTCAATTTCTGCACTTTCTTCCAAACTGAGACGAGAAGTCTCCCGGCACGGCTTTTTGGGATTTGTAGATTCAGTTTATCGCTCCGCTTAGTTTCCGCTTCTGGTCACATGACTGGGGTAAATCAGCCACACCTTCACCCCGGCGACTCCTTCTCGGTCCGTAGACCGACACGTCACTCCTCGGCTCTCAACCAAACTGCTCCGAGCACGTTCTTTCCGCGCTCTCGCTCTCACGAGCAAGCCTATCACAGCTCGGCGGGAGCACAAAGTCCCGCCTCCTGGCTGCTAAGTGACATCTGTATTGTCCAGTTAAGAAGTGTGAGCGCGGCTTTGTACACGCCTTTGGCTCTGACAGACAGTTCCGCAATCCTATCGTTCTTTCGAAGTGTGGTAACGAACCAGAGCCAGCCAATGGGGAGCGGTCCAGGAGGCGGACCAGGCTGCTGCCAGGGTTGGGTGCGCCGCTGAACGGATGGCAGAGACAGCGGAGCGGATTCCTGAGGAACGCTGGCCAGGTGAGAAGGCCTTAGGCTATAACTTGAGAATTAGCTGCAGGTGCAGCCCAGGTTGTTGGTGGCGCTGAACGAAGAGCAGGAGGTGGGGCTCTAATGGCGGCGGGTGGGGTGTGTGAAGCGGAGTTTAGGGCCTTGCAGAGGAGGGGGCGTGGGATGTGGGGTGGGGACATCCCGGAATGGAAGGACGTGAAGGTCCGGAATGGGGCGTGCGCTTTGGCTAGGAGGGTGTGCGAAAGATCGGATCCTGGGACTAGTCCTGGAGAGGAAGGCGCTCAGGACTGGGGTGCCCGCGATGGGTAGTGTCGGAGGTGTGGAGTTATGTGAGGTGGGAGGCAGGGAGTTGGGACCTGCTAGAGTGAGCAGAAGAGGGGCGTGGAGGGGAGTAAAAGAGTGAGAGGGTGCGAGAAAGTGTGTAGGCAAACGGGGCTGGGGAGGTCGCCGTCTTGGGAACTAGAACGAGGGTGGGACTGGGATGCCACGGCTCACAGGCACCGTCGAGGAGAGCAGATGCTAAGTGTATAAAAGTGTCTTTGCCCTTACTTGCTCTAGCGATGTGCTCAAATGCCCAGAGAGCACACTAGGAAAACTCCCTAAGGTCCTGACTTAAATTACCAGTTCCTGTACTCAGGTTTCAAGTAGAGGTTCCGGTGCTCTCATTTCTTCTGCTGACTCTTCTAGGCATGTGGCTCATACCAACTCAGTGGTGTAAACATTTTTCTGTTTCAGGCATTCCAGAAAAACATACAAACCTGTGGGGTGTGGCAGGATTATTGACTTCCTGGGGTTAGGTGTTTATTTTTGATTGCAAGAGAGGGTAAAATTTTGGGGTTGTAATTTAAAAACACATGTAAAACTGCCCCTCTGGGACAGCTAATTGTGGAAAAGATGTTGGGGCCAGGAATGTGTGCTTCTTAATGCCTTCCACCTAGTCCGGTGTTATTTTTTCCCCTCGTTTCCTCCAGTAATAGTGAGAAAAAGATTGGGAGGGATGCAGGTTCCTTTTTTCCCCCTGCAGTCTTGAACAATGTTGCATATCCTTTGTTACTATATTCTTTATCATTTGGCCCTTGATCAGCTTATGGTTTAAGAAGGCAGCACTATCTTAAACAGAAATAGCTAACCTCCTTCCTTCAGCATTTTGTTTTAATCTAGTATTTTTTTTCTTCCCTAAGCTTTTCTTGCTTCAGTAGGAATAATTTATTTTCTTTTCCCTTCAGATTTTCATCTAGTTGCATGAGCTATCTCTGAGATCAGTGGCTTAAATCAGCATTGTCAATTACAGACACGTCTTGGGATGGGCATTTGGAAGTGGCTGTAGATCTGAGCAGTAGTTGCAGTGTGATATATGGGATTGAAAGTGCAGTGATACACATATGTGTATCTTTCCCTCTTGAGTGCATCACTACCTGCAGTAGTGATCAGTCATGCTCTTTAGTTGACCCTTTGACCCCTTTGGGATTTGGAACAGAAAGAAGCTTGTAGCCAGTCAGTTGCTGCTGAAATGTAGGGCCATAAATTGGGCATATTCAGTCATGACTTATTTCTCTGATTTCTACTTTCACCTCTGTACTTAATATTCATTTCCTGCTTTCTTCCATACATTCCTGCTTTTTTCTAGAATGCTCTCTTTCTGGGGCACCTGGGTGGCTTAGTTGTTAAGCATCTGCCTTCGGCTCAGGTCATGATCCCAGGGTCCTGGGATCGAGCCCCGCATCGGGCTCCCTGCTCTGCAGGAAGCCTACTTCTCCTTCTCTCACTCCCCCTGCTTGTGTTCCCTCTCTCGCTATGTCTCTGTCAAATAAATAAATAAAAATCTTTAAAAAAAAATAGAATGCTCTCTTTCTCCATTTAATTATTTTTTTTCTCTATTTCCAGTCTTTCCTATTTTCTTTGCATCTCTTCCCCTAACCACCTTTTTTCTCTTCCCATGTTTGCTCCTTACTCCTTTTGTATCAGGCTATTGCCAGTAGCGATTATGTACTTGTTAGCTGTGAAGGAATAGGAAGCAGAATTATGGTGATAGAATCCAGTCACTCCTTTTGAGTCTTGACACATAGACCTGACTTATGCCTACTTCCTTGCCAGTCAGTCATACCTCAGGCAAGGCTTGGATGTTAGTATTAGCTCTGACCCTCTCTGGCGTGTTCATTAGCTCCTGTCTCCTTTATGGCTTTTTTGCCACCATAAAATATGAAAATTAATTAGATAAATTGGAAGTGTTTAATATCCTACACTGTTGACTTTTCCATTTCAGCCATTTGAGTGTCATCTGCTGCTACCCATTGATGTCAAGATGACTAAGCTGGGATTTTTGCGGTTGTCCTATGAGAAGCAGGACACACTTCTGAAGCTTCTCATTCTGTCGATGGCTGCTGTGTTATGTGAGTGTGCACATGGACCTCTCTTTGGGGATGGAAAGGAGAAAATCTTGAAAAAAAATCAAGAATGGCTTTCTTAGATGCCTTGTTCTTTTCAGTAGGTTGTGATGTGTTCTTTTTTTTTTTTAAGATTTTATTTATTTGAGAGAGAGAGAATGAGAGATAGAGAGCACGAGAGGGAAGAGGGTCAGAGGGAGAAGCAGACTCCCCGCCGAGCAGGGAGCCCGATGTGGGCGGGACTCCAGGATCATGACCTGAGCTGAAGGCAGTTGCTCAACCAACTGAGCCACCCAGGCGCCCTGTGATGTGTTCTTTTTACTGTTGTCTAATAGTATAATTTTATGAAGACAAAATACAGGAAACACAGGATTATAAAAGTCAGGTAGAGATCATCTGAGAAAGAATGGGAAGCATGCTGTGCTAATTCTGTTTTCTTATAGGGCTGGAAGATATACTGGGGACCCTTGGACACTGAATTTTATAAAAGACAATTGTCTTCAGTCTAGTTGCCTACTCTAGTATTTCTGAAAATCTCTTCAGAACTTATTCTGTTTTTTTAGATTTTCTAGCTCTTGATGAGTTATAAGTATAATCTCTTAGTTTGCTCCAAAGTAAAGGTTAGTTGTGGGAAGGGGAGGTCAACATATAAAAAAAGTGATCATGTAAGTTGAGTGCAGTATTAATAGGTGAATGCGTTGTTACAGGCCTTGGTAATAAGTAGTTAAATGTGTCCTACCTACGTGGAAAGTGTAGGTGTCATTGTCAGGGGAAAGTGAACTTGTTTTTGTTTCTTCTGTGTGGGAGAGATGGATAAATACTTTATTCACAGTTTTTTTTTTTTTTAAGATTTTATTTATTTATTTGACAGAGACACAGCGAGAGAGGGAACACAAGCAGGGGGAGTGGGAGAAGGAGAAGCAGGCTTCCCGCCAAGCAGGGAACCCGATGTGGGGCTCGATCTCAGGACCCTGGGATCATGACCTGAGGCCAAAGGCAGACGCTTAACGACTGAGCCACCCAGGCGCCCCAGGGTTTTTTTTTTTTTTTAAGTAAACTCTACCCGCAACATGGGATTCAACTCATGACCCCAAGATCAAGAGTCACAGGCTGTACCGACTGAGCCAGCCAGGCACCCCTATTTAGGGATCATTTTACGTTTCCTGTGACTTCTGTGCTGGATAATATTATTGTCTCTATGATACTATAATCTATTATTTTTCATGGCAGACTACCATTAAAATACTAACTTTGGTTTACGCAGCGTTCTCCACTCGTCTCTTTGCTGTCCTGAGATTTGAAAGTGTCATCCATGAGTTCGATCCGTGAGTACTTTTGCTTGGTCTTTTATTTGCTTTGGGAAGCTTCAGGTTCACGGGTTTCAAATTTCAAATTCTAATCAGCTCTTGGTGATGGGGATGTGCTTCCTACATATTTAGGGCAAAAAACCCTCAAGTTTTCCAAAGGAGATAATTGCTTCCTTTTGAGACATTTCTGTTGGAATTAAACAAGTAAGTATCCCAAACTCATTATCTGGCTATGCTAAGAGAAGTCTGGCTACTCAGCTTGGTCCACAGTTAGTGATACAAATTGAGGGAAAGGGGCCTGGTGTGTGTTTAAGGCTCAAAAGAAAATCACAAATCATGAACTTGAGATTTATGACTTTTTGTTTAACAATTTATATGATAGAAATTGGGCCTGTTGGCTAAGTTCTAAGATATTGGGGAAAATTTAAAGCCATGAGTTTGATTAGGGATTTTAGGTGAGTATTCATTTTGTTTCAAGCACCGTTTTACAGGTTATCTCTAAATCCTTACAACCCTACGAGATGGAGGTGCTATTTTCTCCTTTATATAAATGAGACAGGCTAGGAGAGGTCATTGAAGGTTACATGTTTGGAGGAGCCAAGATTTGAATCTAGGTTTGTCCGTCTCTAGACACTAGAGTCACTATGTTGTATTGCCTAAAGTTCAGGCCTAATTAAAAATTTGGAAAGCCAGAATCATAGATTCTTTAAGTGTCATTAATATTTTAAAAATAACATATTTTAGCTTATGGAGCATAGATTCAAAAGTTGATTTGCAAATTTGTTATTTTGTGTAGGTATTTGAAAGCACTTTGGAGGCACACAAATACATTCTTTGGGGCCTCTCAGATCAATTTATATTTTTTTCTCATGAATGAGAAAACGTATCCTTTTGTTTCTTGATCACCAGTCTGTTAAGGCTTTTTCTCAGATTCTCTAGATGACAAACATTGAGGCAAGATGGTCAGGGTAAATGAGACAGTCTGCTCTGCGGCCATAGACCTAGAAGGAACTGTAAAGATCTTGTGATTTGATGCTTTCTTTTGTGGAGCAGGAAACTGATGCCTGGGTTGTGACCCCAGTCCAGACCTCTTCCCACTAATTTATACATCCTCTGCCTTGCCCTGCCTGCCCGTAGGTGAAGGACATAGTTCTCATACATGTCGACTGCCTGCTACCCTCATTCCTGTGTTTCTCTGACAGTTACCAAAATAACATTCATTAGCAACAAACAGAAGGATAGAGATTTCTGCCATCTGCTACTTCTGCTTACTTCAGCTGCTAAAACTTGACTGACCAAGAAGGAAATAGGGTTAGAGGGATGGGCAGGAAAGGTGGTTAGTCATCATTACCTTTAGTAATTAAAAATTCCTTTTATTTATTTATATTTTTCCTTTTTTTCTTATTCGTTTTTACTTTTTTAATTAAATTTTTATTTGAATGTAGTTGGTACACAGTGTTAACATTAGTTTCAGGGGTACAACGTAGCGATTGGACAAGTTTTATACACTGTGGTGTGTTCAGCACAAATGTAGCTATCATCTGTCACCATACAATGTTAGGACTATATTCCTTATGCTGTGCCTTTTATTCCCGTGACTTATTCATTCCATAATTGGAAGCCTGTGTCTCCCATGCTTTTTCATCCATTTAGCCCATCCCCTCAACCTCTGCCCCTGTGGTAAGCATCAGTTCGTTCTGTTTTTACAGGTCTGATTCTGCTTTTTGTTTATTATTGTGAAATCATATGGTATTTGTCTTTCTCAGTCTGACTTTCTTTTAGCATAATACTCTAGGTCTTTCCATGTTGCTGTAAATGGCATGATCTCATCTTTTTTATGGTTGTGTAATATTCCATCGTATATATATGTGTATATATTTGTGTGTGTGTATATACCACATCATCCTTATCCATTCTTCTCTCAGTGGACTCTTAGGTTGCTTCTGTATCTTGGCTACTGTAGGTAATGCTGCAGTAAACATATGGGTGCTTTTAAATTATATATATATTTTTTTATATATATCATATATCTTTTTAAGTTAGTGTTTTCATTTTCTTCAGGTAAATTCTCAGTAGAGGAATTACTAGATCATATAGTATTTCTGTTTTAAATTTTTTTTTTGATTTTATTATCTTTTTAATTTTTCGACAGAGAGAGAGAACGCAAGCAGGGGAGTGGGAGAAGCAGGCTTCCCGCTAAGCAGGGAGCCCGATGTGGGATTCGATCCCAGGACCCTGGGATCATGTCCTGAGCCGAAGGCAGACGCTTAACAACTGAGCCACCCAGGCGCCCTCTGTTTTTAATTTTTGGAGGAACCTCTGTATTGTTTTCCACAGTGGTTGTACCAATTTACATTCCCACCAGCAGTGCATGAGGGTTCCTTTTTCTCCACATCCTCACCAATACTTGTTATGTCTTGTCTTTTTGATTTTAGCCATTCTGACAGGTGTAAGGTGATACCTCATTGTGGTTTTGATTTGCACTTCCCTGATGATGAGTGATGTTGACCATCTTTTCATATGTCTGTTGGTCATTCTTATTTTTAACTTTTTTAATTGTCATTTTCTCTTCTTTTAAAATAAGAAACTTAAGAGGTTACATACCTTGGACCTAAAGAATTGTGTCCTTCCCTCTATAACTCCAAGAATTTGTATCAAATATTTTTTTGAAGATCTTATTTTTAAGTAATCTCTACACCCAATGTGGGGCTCAAACTTACAACTCTGAGATCATGAGTCACATGCTCTATCAACTGAGCCAGACAGGCACCCCTCAAATATTTTTATGTAGTTTATATTTTTATGCTATTACATAGGTGGCAGCCAGAACTATTTTAAATAACATGAGTAGGACTTCTAAGTTTAAACACTCATTAAGAAGTTTGTGTTGCTGAGTTGATTAAAAAAATTGTAAGGTGTATAGGTGTTATACCAACATCTTTAGAGATGCTCATCACTTGAAGTTATCTTTGTGTCCTCCTATGTGGTATCAAAATGTTCTTTTTTATGTTCCTGTTTCTTGGAAAGGGCCAAATTTATTGGTGCCTACATCTCAGCTGTTTTATGTTTGGTGCTTGAATTCTCTGGTGCTAATGCCTACTAATTGCCAGGCTGGTAAAGTATCCTGCTTGAGTTAGGCTCCAGTTGCATTTTCTTCTTAGAGAAGCAGTGCTTTAGTTGAGACAAACATGGAGCTAGAAATGAGCAGACTTATGGTAATATAAAATGATTTTCATACTTGGCCTAATTTTTGGTACCGAATTGATTTTTATTGGAGTAAGGGTAAGTTCCTCAATTATGAAACCTGAGGAACAAAATTCTCTGCAAATTGGTACCACTATGTGAGTATGAAGAGGAGGAGACGCAGATCATTTCCTTCTTGCCACAGGTACTTTAATTATCGGACTACCCGGTTCCTGGCTGAAGAGGGATTTTATAAATTCCATAACTGGTTTGATGACCGGGCCTGGTACCCTTTGGGACGAATCATTGGAGGAACAATTTATCCAGGTGAGAGGAACAGGATTTTTTTTTTTAAATTTTTTAAGAGAAATCAGGCATTCTACAATAAGGAACAGTTTCTCTTATTTCTAATATCTTTATTTTGTGACAATTGTAACTTCATTCTGATTACAGATCCCTAAAAATGGATCTTATATATACAGGAGAATATATATGGGAGATGGGGATGGGTGGATTTTCATAAATTCTCGAATTTATAGGCCTAGCACAGTTGCAAGGTGTTAGTATTTATGGTGGTTTTTTAGGAGTTGTGTTATCACTTTATTGATACTTTGATTTTCTCTTTCTCTTTCCCTTAAGTTCTTGTCTTACTAAGATAACCTAATGGGGTTTCTTCTTCCTGTTACAGGCTTAATGATCACGTCTGCTGCAATCTACCATGTACTCCATTTTTTCCACATCACCATCGACATTCGGAATGTCTGTGTGTTCCTGGCCCCTCTCTTCTCTTCCTTCACCACCATCGTCACATACCACCTTACCAAAGAGCTCAAGGTGAAGGATTTGGGGTGATAGGCTTGGGAATGAATGTTGTTGAACCTCTCCAGCAGATGCTAAAGGGTAGGGGATTGAGAGCCTCAGAAGGGCAGGGAGCCAGAGACTAAAGACAGCTTTGGCTAGGCTAAATTATTGGGTTCACTCCAGCCCCTTCCTAGAATATGTGGTTTCTCTTTATTTCTCCTTATTAGAGAACATTTGAAGGTCAAATAAAAATTTCTACATAAGGAAAAAAAAACATTTAAAATGTAAAATGTGAGCTTTAGATTTTGAAGTTCTCACAATCTAAGGGAGAGGAAAAATAACTACAGGAAGTGTTCCAAAATGGTTAATTTTTTCTACTGGCAGTGCACATTTAGCAATTATTTGTTGATTTTTTTTAAACATTTATTTAAAAGTTATTAAACCACTTTTGTAGTAGGCTCTAGAATACTGACTCTCTATTTCTAGGTTTCTACATTGCTGATCCTGGTTCCTTGGATGCTATTCTTAGTTTGTGGCTGTGGTGTCAGGGAGATACCTGAGAGGTGATAAACTAGTAGGAGGTCTTGGGACACTTGAGTTTAGTTTGGAAACCTTTTCAGCCTTCTCTTTGCTGCCCTGTTCCAAATTTGACTCTTCCAACAGACAAGTCCTTACTCTCTTTTGGAGTGTGAGTTATATTTCGATGTTCCTCTCTTCTGAGCTCACAGATTGCCTTGTGATATTCCAGCTTTATTATCCAAGCTCCTGGCATCTTTAGTCCAGATAGATGATCACCTTTTGGCTTTTTAACTTAAATAATAGTTGTCTTCCTTTGATTATCCTTGCCCACCTCCTAGAGGTGTGACTGTTCAGGAGTGTGCAGATATTATTAGGGATTTGGGACTCATAAGCCTGGGAATACTCCAGCCAAACAGCCCATTTCTGGGGCAGTGTCTGATGTCTGACAGCTTACATGGTTTGCCTGTCCTTAGCATATGTGTATTCAATTTCAGAGAAACTGGTGTCATCATGGGGAATTCGTTGTGAAGTTTTTAGCTTTCTTGTGCTGCAAACATTTCTAGCATTTCTAGCATCACTTCTGCCTTGGAAAGTTTTGGACTGTTCCCTGGGCCCATTTTAAATAGAATGGATTAGTAGATCCTCTCTTCTCTCTCAGGAATGGATGGTGTTGACTTCCTGTTACCCCTCTTTTCTTATAGGACGCAGGGGCTGGGCTTCTTGCTGCTGCCATGATTGCTGTAGTTCCTGGGTATATCTCCCGATCTGTGGCTGGCTCCTACGATAATGAAGGTAAGACTTAAAATGCTGAAGATGATCTGTTCATTTCATTATTCAGTAGATCTTCAGGAAGTGCAGTAGAATCTGAGTTCATATCTGATGTTTAGCAGTAGCAAAAATGGTATCTGGGTGAGGAGATTAGAAATGGGCAGGAAGGGACCTCAGACAAATTTATAATCTCTCTGTCTGTCATCTCCTCCGGAAAGGTAGCTGGTAATTTTCCTTATATAAGGTCTTTTGCTCTTCTCTGGATTCATAAAAGTGGAGTTAGTTCAGTGTTGAATGTTACTGTTATTTTAACATATTAATCATTTGCTTTTTTTTCCTAGATAAGAGAGATGGATATTCTTTATTATTTATTTTTTTAAAGATTTTATTTATTTGAGAGGGTGAGAGAGAGAGCACGAGTGGTGGGGAGGGGCCGAGGGAGAGGGAGAAGCAGACTCCCTGCTGAGCACGGAGCCTGATGTGGGGCTTGGTTCCAGGACTCCGGGGTCATGACCTGAGCCAAAGGCAGTTGCTTCACCAACTGAACCAGCCAGGCACTCTGAGAAATGGATATTCTTTTTTTTTTTTTTTTTTTTTAAGATTTTACTTATTTGTCAGAGAGAGAAAGAGAGCGCACAAGCAAGGAAGACGGCAGAGGGAGAAGTAGGCTCCCCACTGAACAAGGAGCCTGATGCGGGGCTTGATCCCAGGACCCTGGGATCATGACCTGAGCCGAAGGCAGACACTTAACTGACTGAGCTACCCCGACACCCCCAGAATAGTATTCTTAAATATTATGTCAGTACGGCCTTTTATTGAATTGTTGTTCTGTTCTTTCTGCAGGGATTGCCATCTTTTGCATGCTACTCACCTACTACATGTGGATCAAAGCCGTAAAGACTGGTTCCATCTATTGGGCAGCCAAGTGTGCCCTTGCTTATTTCTACATGGTAACTTTTCACTCCTTTCTTCCACGAGTGTCTCTATTGGGATCAACTGATATAAGCTGGAAATAGCTCTTGGGCTTTGAGACCATGGATTGGAGGCTAGAAGTCTTTATTGTCTTATGTCCCTACAAAACCCAATCCAAGGCAGGTGTGGATATCTATCCATTGTATAATAGCAAAGTAGAGATAATGTTTTTAATTTTTAAAGTTCTCCAAATACCGTATGTCCTATGGGTACATATTGGTTATATTTTTTCCTGTTCAATCTTATGTATTCACTTCTCCCCTTAACTGCTTCCTCTTACTATGTATCCTTAAATCCTCCATATAATGTTATAATAGATTGCATCTAGATTAACCCTGAGGGTTGGGTGCTTCTTTTGTGATCATGATGGCAGGAGGCATAGGGAATAGGGGATTGAGTTACAGTAATAGGTGTGAATTTGATTTTCCTATTTAAAGAAACCAGTTATTTAGACTCTTTAAGCCACTTGGCTTAAAGGAAGTTTATAGTTACTATAAAGAGATATTCTTTGCAAGGTCGTAGGTAATATCCTAAGGTGTAGTGGGGGCCTGAGGAGGAATGCTTAGAGGAACTCTTTTTTTTTTTAAGATTTTATTTATTTATTTGACAGAGAGAGACACAGCAAGAGAGGGAACACAAGCAGGGGGAGTAGGGGAGGGAGAAGCAGGCTTCCCGCCGAGCAGGGAGCCAGATGTGGGGCTCGATCCCAGGACCCTGGGATCATGACCAGAGCCGAAGGCAGACACTTAACGACTGAGCCACTCAGGCGCCCTGAGGAACTCTTCTTTTTTATCCTGTCATAGGTTTCTTCATGGGGAGGTTATGTGTTCTTGATCAACTTGATCCCTCTCCATGTACTGGTGCTGATGCTTACAGGACGTTTCTCCCACCGGATCTACGTGGCCTACTGTACTGTTTACTGCCTGGGCACCATTCTTTCCATGCAGATCTCCTTTGTGGGTTTTCAGGTGAGCCCTAGACTGAGTAGAGTTTTTAGCTACTTCTACTTTCTCTAAACAGCTCCAACCAGCTTGATTTATCTTGGATTCCAATGAAGAGAGTAAGACTTACAGTCTAACCTTGGACTGTTGTGCTAACTGAAGCAACAGAATCATTGGTCATTAAAGTCTCCTTTCAGGGTGCGTTAATATTTGTTCCATAAAGTTTGAATTGAATGACTGTTAATTGGGCTTAGGTTTGTTGGAGGAGAGATACTTTGATCTGAGTTGATATAAATGCAAAGTTATTTGCAGTCCTTTTTAATGTTGATGAGTCTACGCATTAGTAATGACCCCTGAACTTCTTGATAGGGCCTGTGTGAAAGTCCTTTAGGAAGCAAAACACAAATGTTGTAACCACATTACTCGTAGGTTAAGAGACAACTATGAAACCAAAGAGTAATGTGTGGTGTGTTTGATTTCTCATGTAAAATTCTGATGGAAATGGAACCCTTATTCAGAGTTCAGCAGTATTTTCCTTACTGTTCACCTAGTGTATGCAATTTACTAATCAGTGAAATATAAAAATTAAAAATATGATCCTGGTCCTTAAGGGGTCCTTAAGGGAGTTACAGTCTTGCAGGGAAGGAAATACATGCAGGTGTCTATATTCTGTAATATAGCAGTTCTGGAAATGTAATTCCTGGACCAGCAGCATCTGGGAACTCGTTAGAAATGCAAATTCTGGGGGCAGCTGGCTGACTCAGTAGAGTATGCAACTTGATCTTGGGATTGTGAGCTTGAGCCCCATGTTGGGTGTAAAGATTATAAAAAATAGTAACAAATTTCAGTATTCTGAAGAAGCAAATGAACTCCAAATTTTTTATTAAAAAATGCAAATTCTGAGGCTTTATCAGAGACTCACTGAATCAAACTCTAGGGGAGGACTCCAGTCCGAAATCTGTGTCTTAACACCCTCTTTTCTTTGCCCTCCCCATGGTTATGGTGCTCCCTAGTTTGAGAACCACTGGTCTAAACAAAGAAGGAATTTATAAGTAATCTAAGGGATCTAAAGTGCATGGAACATAGAGAATAATGGATTTCAGTTTAGGCAGATTAGGAGGAAATGGTATTTGCATTGGGCCTTGGGTGATGAGAAATTCTGTGAATGTAAATTTTGGGAAAATGAGAAAATTGCTGTCTAGGCTAAACAAATAGTCTGAGTAAAGGCCAGAGGTATGATAATGATAGAGTATGAGATGCTTTGGAGGATTCCAAATACTCTTTGGAAAATGCAGCAGGCGAATTAGACCTTCCCCTCCATTGGCCCTAATTCCTTTGAGGCGTCAGAACTCATTTGACCCTTTTTTGGTCCAAACTAGGTCGGGATAATTCAGGTCTAGGCTAGATCCATTGTTTTGCAGCATTGTCACATATATGCTTTTACCTACAGCCTGTCCTTTCATCAGAGCACATGGCGGCCTTTGGGGTCTTTGGGCTCTGCCAGATCCATGCCTTTGTGGATTATCTGCGCAGCAAGTTGAATCCACAGCAGTTTGAAGTTCTTTTCCGAAGTGTCATCTCCCTGGTCGGCTTTGTTCTTCTCACCGTGGGAGCTCTCCTCATGCTGACAGGTAGGGAAGGCTCACAGCTTTTGTAAATGGGTATAGAACATATAATAAAACTTCAAAAATACGGGTTATTTCTTGACCACAGAAAGATTCATTCTTTTCCTCCTAAGAGTGTGAAGTCCTCCTTCATCACATTCAGTCCACTTGTCAGCTCAGTGTTTGGATTCTGCGTAGTTAAGAATGTCTCATTAGAGTAGCTCTTAATGTCAGAAACATCACACTTGGTGAAAGGACTGTATCTCACTTTGCTAATTTTTCTCCTCTTTTTTTTTTTTTCTTTCCTATTGGTAGGGTGGAAGGAATTGATACTGCTGGCCGTACCCTACAAATATGGCCTTGTCTAATCCCATATGCACTAACCCATGGCTGTTTAGCATGCCATGTTTTCCTCACTTCTCAGAGGCTGATTTGATTCTGCCCACGTCTCTGTGTATTGTCTACTTTGGAGCAGCACTGGCGGATGTAGCTGACTTAGTTTATAGAGTTGGCCATGGTTTGGCCAAATTTGACCTAAAACCCTTTGAAGGAAGCACTTTTGCCTCCCATCTCTGAGTTTATAATGTACAGCCTGACTTTATTCTGTTAGCTGTGCTGACAAAAGTACTCTCTAGTTTGAAAGAAAGGATGGGGTGAAATTCTCAAAGTATTGATGGCATTTTATTTTATTTATTTATTTTTTAAAGATTATTTACTTATTTGACAGAGATGGAGAGCACAGGCAGGTGGAGCGGCAGGCAGAGGGAGAGGGAGAAGCAGGCTTCCTGCCGAGGAAGGAGCCTGATGTGGGGCTCGATCCCAGGACCCTGGGATCATGACCTGAGCTGAAGGCAGACGCTTAATGACTGAGCCACCCAGGCGCCCCTATTGATGGCATTTTAACAAAAACCTAATCCTTCTCTGTCTCAGACTCTTATTAAAATGGAAAATTGAGATTAGTTAGGGTCAGAGGTTGTTTTGTTTCAGGAGTGATTGTGAAATGTTTGTTGCTCCTTTGCTGCCAGGAAAAATATCTCCCTGGACGGGGCGTTTCTACTCACTGCTGGATCCTTCTTATGCTAAGAACAACATCCCCATCATCGCTTCTGTGTCTGAGCACCAGCCCACGACCTGGTCCTCATACTATTTTGATCTACAGCTTCTGGTCTTCATGTTTCCAGGTCTGTCTGCTTTGTGTTCTTAGGTGGCCTTTTGTAAGAACCACCATTTGATTCAAAATAAGTAAATTACCCTCGTCCTTGTGTTTTGTTGTTTTTTTTTTTTTAAGATTTTTATTTATTTATTTATTTAACAGAGAGAGAGAGCACAAGTAGGCAGAGCGGCAGACAGAGGGAGCGGGAGAAGCAGGCTCTCCGCCGAGCAGGGAGCCCGATGCAGGGCTCGATCCCAGGACCCTGGGATCATGACCTGAACTGAAGGCAGACGCTTAACCCACTGAGCCACCCAGCCGCCCCGTTGTTGTTCTTTTTTTGCCTGTTTACCCTGTGCTGTACAAAGGATGGCTAAGCATTTTTCTAATATTTGAGGCAGAGTAGGAGTCAGAAGTTGAACAGTTAGAGATGCTGGCAAGTTCAGAGCCTCATAGTTTTCTGTTCATTTGTGTTATAAGTTAAAATTCAACTTGAATTTGAATTCACGTTTTGGTTTTTGTTTCTGAGTACTTTCAGAGTACCTCTCTCCCATCCCCCATCTGTGACTCCTCCCTGTTTATTTCTTGGCAGTACTGAAGTTTGAGAATAGGCATGGCTGATTGTAAAGACACAGCTACTTATCTTCTAGCCAATCCAGATATGTTTTTGGATTTACTAGAGGTGGGGTGCTTCCTTTTTTTTAATAATATAACTTCTATTTTTTTTTCTTATGAAATAAAGCCTATTGTAAAAAATACAGACAAGTTAAAAAAAAAAGTAAAAATTTCAGGAGTTCTCACCACGCATCTGTTGGTACTGTTATCATTTTGATGCATGTTCATCTAGTTAGTTATTCATTTATTTATTTTAGGTTTTTTTTTTTTAAGATTTTACTAGAGAGAGTGAGAGAGCGAGCACAAGCGAGGTGAGGGGTAAAGAGAGTAGCAGACTCCCCGCTGAGCAAGGAGCCCTGTGCAGAGCTCGATCCCGGGACCCTGGGATCATGACCTGAGCTGAAGGCAGACGCTTAACCAACGGAGCCACCCAGGCGCCCCTTAGTTTTTTTTTTTTAATTAAAAAATTTTTTTTTAGTAATCTTTACACCCACCCAGGATGGGGCTCAGACTCATAACCCCGAGATCAAGTGTCACATGCTCTTCTGACTGAGCCAGCCAGGCCCCCCCTCAGCCAGTTACTTACTGAATAAAAATGAAATGATATAGTTTTTCCCCAATTTTTTTCATTTTATGAAGGATCATAATTTATGTTATTTAGTATTATTTTAGAGTTATGATATTTAAATATGTTTTTTGTAAGTACAGAGATATGTAAAGAAGGCAAATGGTCCATATTATCCTGTAGCAATATTTTAATTGATGTATTGTACTCTATTATATAAATATACTATAAAAACTACCTCTTTTATGTTGGATGTTAGGTGGTTTCTGACTTTTTGCTATTTTTAAGAGTTCTGTAGTAAACATCTTTGCACGTATATATGATTATTTATTTTAGTTGCTTCTTTTTATTTTTACTTTTGTAGTTGGTCTCTATTACTGCTTTAGCAACCTGTCTGATGCCCGGATTTTCATCATCATGTATGGTGTGACCAGCATGTACTTTTCGGCTGTCATGGTGAGGAATGCCGTCAGTCATAGTATCAGTACTGCCCCTGACTCTGAGGGCCATGGCAGGATTCAGAATGTACTGATGATTGTGCAGATGCTTTCCTCGGAGCATTTGAGGGGCTGAGTTGTAAAGCTGCTCACTGTTGCTGCTCCTTCTCAAGGATGTGTAATGGGCTCATACGTTCTGCTTGTGTGGCCCAGCCTTCTTGGATTCATAACCTTGTATCAGGAAGGGGCACGTATACTCCGTTGGAAAAAGCGTCTGTGGGCAGGTTTCTTCCCCTCTCTTTCTGCATGTCTTAAGAAAGGAGTTGACATTTTTTCCTTAAAGCCCTGGGAGGATTGCCAAGTGTTAGATTGTTGAAAGTGGAGAGATTTTATATTTTGTAGTAAAACAGTGTTTCTTAAACCATAGTTAAATACATTTTTTTTTAAAGATTTTATTTATGTATTTGACAGAGACACAGCGAGAGAGGGAACACAAGCAGGAGGAGTGGGAGAGGGAGAAGCAGGAGGGAGCCTGACACGGGGCTCGATCCCAGCACTCTGAGATCATGACCTGAGCCTTAGGCAGACGCCCAACGACTGAGCCACCCAGGCGCCTCCCATAGTTAAATACATTCTTCAACATATCATTATTTGGGGACACATATACATATATAACTGAAAATAGTTTAAAGAATGTATACTTCTACTGTAGATATATCAAGTATTTTCTCATATTTTTTTATTGAGAAATCATGTTTGTTGAAAACCACTGAACTGATGTCATGATGTACTAATAGGTTGTAATTTGTAAAACGCTGATTGGACTATTTTTGTTTGCTTCCTGTCTCTTGTAGGTCCGTTTAATGCTAGTGTTGGCACCTGTTATGTGCATTCTTTCTGGCATTGGAGTCTCCCAGGTGCTGTCCACTTACATGAAGAATTTGGACATAAGTCGTCCAGACAAAAAGAGCAAGAAGCAACAGGATTCCACTTACCCTATTAAGAATGAAGTGAGAATTAAGCAACGCTAAGAACAGGCTTGGGAAACTCTGTGTGTATGTGTGTGTTTGTGTGTGTGTGTATCTATTTTTTGAGTGAGGGAATAGAATGTTGTCATAGTGGTCAGAGTGAACTCATATAGTCCCTGACTTGTTTTGATTCATTTCATCTATATTGTGTGTAAGAAGCTGTTCTGAGTTGTGAAATTTAATTTGCTTTATATTCTTCCTTGTTTAGGTGGCAAGTGGGATGATACTGGTCATGGCTTTCTTTCTCATCACCTATACCTTTCATTCAACCTGGGTGACCAGCGAGGCCTACTCTTCTCCCTCCATTGTGCTGTCTGCCCGTGGTGGGGATGGCAGTAGGATCATTTTTGATGACTTTCGAGAAGCATACTATTGGCTTCGTCACAATACTCCAGAGGTAAAAATTTGGGAGCGATGGGATTGAGGGGTATGGGGAAGTGGGAGACGTTTGCTGTGATAGTGATTCAATGGGTGAAAAGCCTAGAGAAATTGGAACTATAGAACCCTGGTGTTGAATGAGCCCTATAGGTCAGCCTCCATTCAATTCAGGATTTCTTCTGTATCCTTACTGGTAATCATCTACACTCTGACAGCGTGGTGATTTTATCATGAGATAGACCACCCCAATTATAAAAGAAATCAGAAAATAGAAACAAGAAAAAAGATACGGGGGCGCCTGGGTGGCTCAGTTGGTTAAGCGACTGCCTTCGGCTCAGGTCATGATCCTGGGAAGATCGAGTCCCACATCGGGCTCCCTGCTCAGCAGGGAGTCTGCTTCTGCCTCTGACCCTCCCCCCTCTCATGTTCTCTCTTTCATTCTCTCTCTCTCTCTCTCAGATAAGTAAATAAAATCTTAAAAAAAAAAACAAAAACAAATTTTCCATAAAGTGATCACCTGATGATAAGCACTTTTAACATTTTGGTTTATAACTTTTAAGAATTTGAAGTGATTTTCTTGCAGTAGCAATAGCCCTTCTGAGTTAGACACTTGATGAAAGCTGTAAGAATTTCTTAGTTCTTGTCCATTATATTCTGTGGTTTATATTCCCCCCCATCTTGATATTAACTGCTTTTTGTGTATTGCTAAAGATCATTTATTTAATATAATTATCTGATGACACCAAATTATTTATTTGGAAATATTACCCAGGCCCTATACCTACCATCGCTTTATGCTTGTTTATATAAGGTGATCTGAGATGAAAGTATTGGGAATGTTGAATTGTATAATTTGCACTGAGATTCCATGATTATATTATAAATGTAGGACCAAGTGCCAAGATTTATTTTCTGGTTAGGCAGTGCCTCACTATCAGATGCCTTTCCAGTTCTTCTCTTGTACTTGAATTTTGGAGGCAGTGAGCTTATTTTCATTTCCTGTTCTTCTTTCAGGATGCGAAGGTCATGTCATGGTGGGATTATGGCTACCAGATTACGGCTATGGCGAATCGGACAATTTTAGTGGACAATAACACATGGAATAATACCCATATTTCTCGAGTAGGGCAGGTAAAGTGAAGGGATCATTTGAGTGTTTGGCACACAGGATCTAGTGGGGAATATTTCTCTCTGAGGGATCATATGACTTAGAATTTTGCTCTGAGAAATGTGCGTTTATTTTTCTAGGCAATGGCGTCCACAGAAGAAAAAGCCTATGAGATCATGAGGGAGCTTGATGTTAGCTATGTGCTGGTCATTTTTGGAGGCCTTACTGGGTATTCCTCTGATGGTATGTACTTGATTCTAACTATAGGTCATAGATTCTAAGAAAACTACACGAATCTCCTATTTTTCTGGTCTTTTTTTTTTTCAATAATATCAACATACTTTCTTGGTTGGGAAAGTTCCTAAGTATTTGCAACTTTAGGGTTTATATGTTTGGATTTTTTTTGGCAACAAGTAAGAGGTAAAAGTAAATAATTCTCATATAGGTATGGCATGCTGTAATTGTCTAAAGACCTAGGAGTAGTTCCACACCAGTAAGCAAAGAACATAAAGCTTAGCTGAACCTACTGTGGTGTTCATTTCACAGTATATAATCGAACAAACAAAAAGTAATAGCAAAGTAAAATACAGTGTGAAAAAAAGAACATAAGGCATCTGAAAATGAACTTAAGAATTAGCATTTCTAGTGGGTTTAAGCCATAGATTCATATGCCAATTTAAAATGTTTCATATTTGTGTGTGTGTGTGTGTGGCATATGTTACCACGTTCCCTACGATTAATAGCAAAACCATGTTTTTTTTTTTTAAAGATTTTATTTATTTATTTGACAGAGAGAGACACAGTGAGAGCAGGAACACAAGCAGGGGGAGTGGGAGAGGGAGAAGCAGGCTTCCTGCGGAGCAGGGAGCCCAATGTGGGACTTGATCCCAGGACTCTGGGATCATGACCTGAGCCGAAGGCAGATGCGTAACGACTGAGCCACCCAGGCACCCGCAAAACCATGTTTTTAGAAGACTTGTCAAAATGTGATTCTCTGCCTTAAAAAAACTTTTTTTTTAATTTTATTTATTTATTTTTATATATATGAACGTATACATTATATGTAGTAGAAAGAGATGATGACCTGAGTCAAAGGCAGACGCTTAACAACTGAGCCACCCAGGCGCCCCTACCTTAAAAAAATTTTTAAAAAACTGAAGCAATACCTTATTTTTACTTGAAAATGTGAAACACTTTTGAAGGTTTATAATAAAAAGTGGTAGATACTACCCAGTCCCCAAGACTAAATTCCCTATGATACCAGTTTCCAGAGGCAATTATTTCTTCAGTTGTTCCTTTTTAGTACTTATGTTCTTATTTCTAAAAATATGTATATTCCCTATTCATTGATCATTTTATTTATTTATTTATTTATTTATTTATTAAAGATTTTATTTATTTGTTAGAGTGTGGGCAAGAGAGAGTGAGCGAGAGAGAGTGAGCAAGGGTACAGCAGGGGGAGCTGCAGGCAGAGGGAGAAGCAGGCTCCCCACTGAGCAAGGAGCCTGATGCGGGACTCGATCCCAGGACCCTGGGATCATGACCTGAGCTGAAGGCAGACGCTTAACCAACTGAGCCACCCAGGCGTCCCTCATTGATCATTTTAGATATGCCATATCAACTTATAATTGTAGAGAAGAAATTTTGTCCTTTTTATCACTCCCCACTTCCTCCTTTTCCTCTTGATTCTTCTTAGTGGGGTCAATTTTTAATTTTTGGTTAAATCCAGATAAAGTATTTTCAAAATCGTGACTATGTAAACATTCATTGCTGAGTCAGCCAGTATACCATGGTTACATTCTTACCTAAAATAACTTGTTTTCCTGCAATTAATAACTACCTCATATTTTTTTCTTAATTTTCTTTGAATATATGACTGCTTCTTAGAGATGTTTAAATTTTAGATTATATGTCTCTATATATAGTACATATAAAGTGCCAAGTATAAAGTTAGAAGACTGGTTTCCATGTGTGTCTTGTACAAGCAGAGGAAGAATGATGATGGCAAGGGCGTGTGTCCACAGACTTAAACTTTCACGATTGTACCAGCACTGTTTGTGTATAATCATTTATAGGTTTTTCTCGTAGTCACAATTAGCCAAATACTACAGAAAAGTATTTGTGTATGTATATATGTATATGTATTTTTATATATATGAATGTATACATTATATGTAGTAGAAAGAGATAATTTCTCAAAATCTTAGCAGTAACCACTCTTAAATAACCACTTTCAGTCAGTCAACCTTTTATTGCCTACAACGGTGCACAGAAGAAGTATGTTTAATGCTGGCATAAAAATGAATGTCATTATTTGGATTACATTGTAGTTTTTTTCTGTGAAATTAAGGAAAGTAGCATGTGAGACACCTGACAAAGTAACTTAACATTAAAAGAAAGTGCTAAGATGAAGAGGTTTCAATTGTACAAATATTTTAAAAAATTTTTTTAAAAGATTTTATTTATTCATTTGAGACACAGAGATAGAGAGCATGAGCACAGGGAGAGGCAGAGGTAGAGGGAGGAGCAGGCTCCCCGCCGAACCAGGAGCCTGATGTGGGGCTTGATCCCAGGACCCTGGAATCATGACCTAAGCTGAAGGCAGATGCCCAACCATCTGACCCACCCAGGTGCCCCAATATTTTTTTTAAAAGATTTTATTTATTTATTTGACAGAGAGAGATATAGCTAGAGAGGGAACACAAACGGGGAGTGGGAGAGGGAGAAGCAGGCTTCCCGCAGAGCAGGGAGCCCGATCCCAACCTGGGCCGAAGGCAGACACTTAACGACTGAGCCACCCAGGTGCCCCTCAATTGTACACATTTTTAAAGTGAACTTTGCATTGAACATTTTTAAAAATTGTACACATTTTTTAAGTGAACTTTGCATTGAACATTTTTAAAAATGCATTTTGTAAGCATATAGCATGATCAGTTTCCACAAGGGGAGCGTATCCATGTAACTAGCGCCCAGATCAAGAAACAGAACATTACCAGTGTCCTAGAATTCTTCTTCATACACCCTGCATCTGCCCCCCCCAATCTTCTAAGGGTGACCACTGTCTTGGCTTCTAATGCCATTTGTTTTTTAAACAGATTTATTGAAGCATTTTAACATATTGTACACTGTGTATATTTAAAATCTGTAATTTGGTAAGTTTTGACATTAATACATACCTACCTGGGTAGTTTTGCCTGTTTTTGAATTTTATAAATGCAGTAGTATTGTATGTACCCTTTGTTTCTGGCTTGTTTGGTCAGTATTGTGTTTGTAAGATTCATTCATGTTGCAGGTCATAATAATTTCTTAATTCTCAGGGCACCTGAGTGGCTCAGTTGGTTAGGCGTCAGCCTTCTGCTCAGGTCATGATCCTGGAGTCCCGAGATTGAGTCCCACATTGCATTCTCTGCTTGGCAGGGAGTCTGCTTCTCCCTCTGCCCTTCATCCTGCTCTGTCTCTCTAATAAATAAATAAGATTTTTTTTAAAGATTTTATTTATTTATTTGACAGAGAGACACAGCGAGAGAGGGAACACAAGCAGGGGGAGTGGGAGAGGGAGAAGCAGGCTTCCCACGGAGCAGGGAGCCTGACGCGGGGCTCGATCCCAGGACACTGGGATCATGACCTGAGCCTAAGGCAGACACTTAACGACTAAGCCACCCAGGTGCCCCAATAAATAAGATCTTAAAAAAAATTTTCTTAATTCTCATTCCTGTGTAGTATTCCATTGTGTGAATATAGCATAATATATGCATTTTATTTTTTATTTTAAAGATTTTATTTATTTATTTGACAGAGAGACACCGTGAAAGAGGGAACACAAGCAGGGGGAGTGGGAGAGGGAGAAGCAGGCTTCCCGCTGAGCAGGGAGTCCGATGTGGGGCTTGATCCCAGAACCCTGGGATCATGACCTGAGCCGAAGGCAGATGCTTAAGGACTGAGCCACCCAGGTGCCCCTATTTTTTATTTTTTTTGAAGATTTTATTTATTTATTTGAGCGAGAGAGAGAGAGAGCACAAGCTGGGGTGGGGGAGAAGCAGAGAGAGAAGCAGACTCCTGGCTGAGCAGGGAGCCCAATATTGGGTTCAATCCCAGGACCCTGGGATTATGACCTGAGCTGAAGGCAGATGCTTAACCAGCTGAGCCACCCAGGTGCCCCAATGTATGCGTTTTAGTGTTGATGGGTTCAGCTTGGGGCTGTCACAAATGATGCTCTTATGAACATTATCGTGCTTGTCTTCTGGTGAACATATATATAATGTTAATAATGGAATTGCTAGTTTAGAAGGAATGTATGTGTTCAGCTTTAATAGGTACTGGCAAAGAGATTTCTAAAGTGGTAGTACCAATTTACATTCCTGCCAACAGTATTGTTGGTTGTTCTGTATTCTTGCCTAACACTTGGTATTACAAATCTTTTTCATTTGTGTCTGTATGTGGTGGTAATACAGATGTTCTAATGAAGATGGAGACACTGTTCCCTCATAATCACTTGGTTATGTAAGACTATAAAAATGTGACAGTCAGAGATTTAGTTAGGTCAAATTGATGCCTAATTGTGAGAATGATAGCATAGGTTAAGTTTATGTAAAGAAAGACTCAGACAGAACACCTTAAGAGAGAAAAGCTTTCTTTGGACATTGTGCTATGTTTTTGAATTGTTGCAAGAGTAGTGATTGGACAATTTCTCTGATCTATATATGGAAGCTAGACTTAAAAAAAAAATAAGATAACCACTGAAAAAAGAACACTCGTTATCTAAATTTATGAAAACATGCATGTGAAAATCATGAAAGAAGTATTGTTTAATTTTCTCATATTGAATTTATTTCTCAAGTTCAAATGATTAGGCTTCATTAGTTGGAATTCTGAAAAACTCAAGAAGTATTGTATGATGAAAAGGAGTGAACCCAAAGTCCAGAGGTTGTTGCTATTATTGTTATTTAAACATGGTAACATTCCAGGTGGTGCCTTTTGTGAATACTTTTTAACATTTTAAAAGTAGCTTCTCCCTCCCTTCCTCCCTCCCTTTTTCTCCCTTCCTGCCTCCCTCTCTCTCTCCCCCTTTCAGTCTTTTACAAACACACACAGACACATGGACAAATGTGCCCCAGAACAGCTACTGGTATTGCCTTGATGGCTAATCCTCTCTTCCCCCCTGCCCTAACTCATTTTCAGTCATTATTCTTGCCTCTCCTGAGTCTATTAGAAAAAAAAACCACCACATCATGGGGCACCTGGGTGGCTCAATCGGTTAAGTGTCTGCCTTTGGCTCAGGTCCTGAACCCAGGGTCCTGAAATTGAGCCCCACATCGGGCTGCCTGCTCAGCGGGGAGACTGCTTCTCCGTCTCCCACTCTCCCTGCTTGCACTCTCTCTCTCTCTGTCAAATAAATAAAATCTTTTTTTTTTTTAGGATTTTTTTTAGATTTTATTTATTTATTTATTTGACAGAGACACAGCAAGAGAGGGAACACTAGCAGGGGGAGTGGGAGAGGGAGAAGCAGGCTTCCCGCTGAGCAGGCAGCCTGATGTGGGGCTCAATCCCGGGACCCTAGGATCCCGACCTGAGCTGAAGGCAGACGCTTTACTACAGCCACCCAGACACCCCAATAAATAAAATCTTTAAAAAATAAAATAAAATAACCACCACATCTCATCAAGTTGTATATGTTAAATATGTACAGCTTTTGGTATATCAATCATACTTCAATAAAGTGGTTTTTAAAAAGCACACACTGGGCGCCTGGGTGGCTCATTCGTTAAGCGTCTACCTTCGGCTCAGGTCATGATCCCAGGGTCCTGGGATAAAGCCCCGCATCGGGCTCCCTGCTTGGTTGGGAGCCTGCTTCTCCCTTAACCTACTCCCTCTGCTTGTGTTCCCTCTCTTGCTGTGTCTCTCTCTCTCAAATAAATAAATAAAATCTTTAAAAAGAAATAAAAATGCACACAAAATTTTTGCCCTGAAGATGATTCTAAAATGTTGTGAGCATTTTTTAAAAAAGATTTTATTTATTGGGTGCCTGGGCGGCTCAGTTGTTAAGCGTCTGCCTTCAGCTCAGATCATGATCCCAGGTTCCTGGAATCCAGCCCCCCATCGGGCTCCCTGCTCCATGGGAAGCCTGCTTCTCCCTCTCCCACTCTCCCTGCTTGTGTTCCCTCTCTCAGTGTCTCTCTCTCTCTATCAAATAAATAAATAAAATTTAAAAAAAAAGATTTTATTTGAGAGGGAGACAGAGCACAAGCAGGGAGAGGGGCAGAGGGAGAAGAACAAGCAGACTCCCCACTTAGCGGGGAGCCCCAACAAGGGGCTCAATCCCAGGACCCTGAGATCATGCCAGCCAAGTTAGATGCTTCACTGACTGAGCCACCCAGGCACCCCTCTTGTGAGCATTTTTATGCTAAGTGGTACCAGTTCCAAAAACAACATTTTCTAAAGGGATTAACATGCATTTGGGTATAAAAATTGTATTGCATTTATTTATTTATTTAATTTTTTAAGAAGATTTTATCTATTCATTTGAGAGAGAGTACAACAAGGGGAGTTGCAGAGGGGGAGGAAGAAGCAGGCTCAGCTAAGCCACCCAGGTGCCCCATGTACTGCTTTCTTTTTTAAAGTTTCATTATTTCATGGTCATATCTCATGTTTCTTAAATGTTCTTAATTTAAACTTCCTTGAGATGTTGCGTCATGGACAAGATTTTGCCCTTTTGCAAGTCATGTTTATTTCATGTTACTCATTTTCTATTAAATGCTTATACAGATCTAAAATAAAATATTTAGATCTGATGATAGTTCAGACTCTCTTGTCCGAGTTTGATACAACACTGCCCTTTAACTTTCCCCTTTTGTGTAGGCAACAGAATCTTTGAGTGGTGGCCTGTCCTTCATGCAGTTGCTGTTACTTTTTACTTCCCCTTCTTTTTTTTATTTGAAATTTTTAATAGGAAAGAAAAGAAGTAAGGGATTTTATTTTGTTTTTCTAAAGATTTTATTTATTTATTTATTTGAGAGAGAGATAGAGAGAGCATGATGAGCAGGGGGGATATCTTTGATGATCCAGTAGACCAGGGGTCCATTAGACTGCAGCCATACCCATTCATTTCTGTGTTATCTCTCTCCCCAGTTTTGAGATATAACTGACATTTGACATTATGTAAGCTTAAAGTTTACAACGTAATGATAAGTTTAGTCAATATTCGTCACCTCACATAGTTAATTTTTTTTTCTTGTGATGAGAATTTTTAAAATCTCTTTTAGCAACTTCAAATATATAATACAGTATTGTTAACTGTAATCATCATGTTGTATATTATGTGCCCAGAACTTAGTAATCTTATAACTAGAAGTTTATCACCTTTGACCACCTTCACCCAGTTACCCCCAATCCCGCACCCCCAGCCTCTGGCAACCACAAAATCTGGCTTCTAAGTTTGGGTTTTTTTTTTTAAGATTCCACTTATAAGTGAGATCCTACAGTATTTGTCTTTCACTGTTCGACTTATTTCACTTAGCCTAACGCTCTCAAGGCCCATCCATGTTGTTGCAAATGGCTGGATTTCCTTTTTATTTTATTTTTTTTCTATGGCTGGATGGTATTCCATGTTATATATGTGAAATAAATATATATAGTAGTTTTTAATTTTTTGAGGAACCTGCATACTGTTTTCTATAGTAGCTGTATCAACTTACATGCCCACCAACAGTGTATAAGCTTTCCTGTTTTTCCACATCCTTGGCAGCATTTGTTATCTCTTGTCTTTTCTAACAGGTATGAGGTGATATCTCACTGTGGTTTTGATTTGTATTTCTGTCATGATTAGTGATGTTGAGCACTTTTCCATGTACGTGTTGGCCATCTGAATATCTTTGGAAAAATGTCTATTAAGGTCCTTTTCCCATTTTTAATCAGATTATTTGGGGGTTTTGTTATTGAGTTCTATGAGTTCCTTATATATGTTGGCTATTAATCCCCTATGTTAATACATGGTTTGCAGATATTTTCTCTCATTCCATAGGTGGCCTTTTCATGTTGCTGATTGTTTCTTTTGCTGTGCACTCTTTCATTCTTACAGCTTATCAGGTTTTTGCTTCAGACATAACGTTCAGGAAGCTACAATCTCAGTACTCCAGACACTACACTACACAAGGAAAGCAGTATTATATATGGAATGCTTACTATGTGACAAATGGTATACGAAGTGCTATACATGCTCTTACTCATAACTCTGTTGTACATACTCTCCTTTTTCTATCTGAAGCTCAAGAGAGGTTAAGTAACTTGTTCAGGGTCATCCACCTAGCATTGGCAATGCTAGAATTCAAACCCTGGCTGTTTAGATCCAGAGTCTGTGTTCTTAAGCAGTGAGATATCCCCTGGAACCCTTTGCTGTAGTGCAGTAGGAACCTTTTTTCCTACAGATCCATAATACATTTTTTTTTTAAGATTTTATTTATTTGACAGAGAGAGACACAGCGAGAGAGGGAACACAAGCAGGGGGAGTGGAAGAGGGAGAAGCAGGCTTCCTGGTGATGCAGGGCTTGATCCCAGGACCCTGGGATCATGACCTGAGCTGAAGGCAGACGCTTAACAACTGAGCCACCCAGGCGCCCCCAGATCAATAATACTTTTTATACTAACCATCCATTTCCCTAACACTCATGGAGGAGATACAGAGAGTGACATTCTAAGAGAGAGAACCTGAGTTGCTGGTGGCGTCAGTATATATGGACCCTGGTAGTGTGTTTGACATAGAAATGTTGACTTCTCATAGATATGTTTTCGAGGTTTGTAACTTTACAACTGTAGGTCAAGAAGTTGCTAAAGTTGATAAAGTTGCTTTCTGGGTCTGTGCTGTCTGATAGAAATACAATGCGAGCCACATATATTGTTTTAAATTTCTATTAGTCACATCAAAATAAGTAAAAAGAAACAAGAAGTGAATTTTAATAATTTAACTGAATATATTCAAACATTATTTAACCAAAATATTTTACTCACTTCGTTTTGTTTTGGTTTTGGACTAAGTCTTAGAAATCCAGTGTGTACTTTATACTTAACAGCAAATCTTAATTTGGATTAGCCACCTTTTTTTTAAAATTTTTTTTAATTTTTTTTTTAAGATTTTATTTATTTATTTATTTGAGAGAGACGGAGAGAGAGCACATGAGAGGCGGGACGGTCAGAGGGAGAGGCAGACTCCCTGCTGAGCAGGGAGCCCGATGCGGGACTCGATCCCGGGACTCCAGGATCATGAACTGAGCTGAAGGCAGTCACTTAACCAGCTGTGCCACCCAGGCGCCTGCCACCTTTTTTTTTTTTTTAAAGAGAGGGAGGGAGGGAGACAGAGCACAAGCAGGGGGTGGGCAGCAGGAGAGGGAGAAGCAGACTCCCCACTGAGCAGGGAGCCCCACATGGGGCTCCATCCCAGGACTCCAGGATCATGACCTGAGCTGAAGGCAGATGCTTAACTGACTGAGCCACCCAGGCGCCCCTGAACTAGCCACCTTTCAAGTTTCAGTAGCTACATGTGGCTAGTATGTATATACAGCTACTATACTGGACAGCTCAGACCAACTAATAACCTGGAAATAATTTCTGTTGTGACTTAAGTCTGGACCAATAGCACAGGCTTTCAGAAGTCTATAGGAAAAGTTGTAAATTTTGAGGGAAAAGTTTTGCCCCCACATTGTATTTCCTATTTTAAAAAATTAGACTTAAATAGTACCATTTCTCATTAGAAAAATATTTTGAGGGATTTTCTTAGAAATAGTGACTTTTTCAAAGGTCACATCACTGTGTCGTATACTTTAAACTAATATTGTATGTCAACTATACTTAAAAAAAAGGAAATAAATAATAGCTTTCATTAGGTGATTTAGCTCTAGCAACCTTTGTGACACAGCTGTTCCCTTTCTGCTTTTTTGTAGACATCAACAAGTTTCTGTGGATGGTCCGGATTGGAGGGAGCACGGACACAGGCAGACATATTAAGGAACACGATTATTATACTCCAACCGGGGAGTTCCGTGTGGACCGGGAGGGTTCTCCGGTGCTGCTCAACTGCCTTATGTACAAGATGTGTTACTACCGCTTTGGACAGGTCTACACAGAAGCCAGTAGGTGACTCCTAATAACATCGGTAATAACAGTAAGAACAGTGATGCTAATACCTATAGTGTTTTTCATCTGCCAGGCACTGCTCTGAGTGCTTTACATCTATTAACTTGTTTGATCCTTACAACAACCCAAAACACAGATACTACTATTATTTCCATTTTATATATGAGGAATTTGAGGTACAAATCAGGTACTTACCTGCCCAAAGTCACGTAACTAGTGGCAGAGTTAGGTTAAACTCAGGCAGTCTGGCTCTGGATTCTGTGATTTTACCCATTACATTTTATTGCCTCTCAGGAAAAGGTATTGCAGTGGAGAGAGGAATGAAAGGGGGATACAGTGATATAAAGGACTTTTCATTTCTTTAAATAAATGCCTGGAGACTAATCTGATTAGGTTAAGTCTTCTGATTTTAATTTCTTGGTATTGCATTAGGGACAATGCTTGAAATGGATGCAGGTCTGATTTCTGATGGGTTCTTCTGTGATTCATGGAGGGGTTACTAGTGTAACACAGAGGCCTCTAGGTAGCAATCCTCGGGAGTGAGGGGCTGGGAAATCAGCCCCCTGTCTTGTAGAAGAGGTAGCCTCCATGGACTTTGTCAAACATCAGCTTGGAGAGGACTTGAATCAGGGTAACACTTGATTTGTCCTAACTACCTGATGTCTTTTTGTGTAGGCCCTACTCTCTAAACAAACTTCAGGCTGAGAAGTAACATTCCAGTTAGTAGATGATTTACCAGATTGATTTCCTCTTAGGAAATCAGCACTGTAGAAAGAAGTGTTTCTCCTTTTTTTTGTCCCTTCTAGAGCGTCCACCAGGCTTTGACCGTGTCCGGAATGCTGAGATTGGGAATAAAGACTTTGAACTTGATGTCCTGGAGGAAGCATATACCACAGAACATTGGCTAGTCAGAATATATAAGGTGAGTAGATGCTACACTGAGAAAGCAACTCTCATGTTTGTGGATTGGTTCTAGTGCTAAAAAATGGGCCACATATTTCTAATATAGGGACATTTCTAATGTCAGAAAAGTAGCTTTTACAACTCAGAATGTTACTATTTTTATTTCAGATTGTTCTTCAAGAGTAGACACCCTAGTCTCCTGTCATTTTCGTTGCGGTTACAGTGATATTTTTCCAGTTGGGGTTGTACTTGATTTGTTGTCGTGATTTTCAGGCCTGGAGGGGAAAAAAAAGAAAGTGTGTGTGTGTGTGTGTGTGTGTGTCTGCGTGTGTGCATGTATATGTGCACACGTGTACGCTACATTTTCTTCTCTCCTACTGAAGAATTTATGGCATAGAGTCACACAGAAGTGTGTTATATCTCTTACATAAGAAAAGATTGAGAACCCTTGATTTTTTTGGCAGGTAGATCATTTATACTCCTCCTCAGAGGTACTCCAAAAGGCTAAGCAGAAAGTAGCTAGTCTCAAACCAGTGCTCATTTAGTCACAAAGCCAAATCAGGCAGCAGACCCCAACTTAGTAAAGCTCTTCCAACTTGACCTGATTGTAAATATTAAAATGACATCTTTATGTTGCAGGTAAAGGACCTGGATAATCGAGGCTTGTCACGGACATAAATGTTATGTCCACCTCCAATATGCTTCGCACTGAGCGTCACATTTAGGACACTGAAGACGTTTTTTAAATATGCAGTTTATAAGAACAGAGCACGATGGGATTAGTATTGTCTGGAAGTTTTGCCCTGGGCAGTATGGGCTGGGCCAAATGGAATGATTTTTTATAATTCTGAGCAGGTTACCAAATGAAATGTCATGGCTTTACTTTGGTCAATTAAAGGGGGGACCTTTTTTTTTAAATGTGCCTTATTTGTTTTGACTTATGACTGATTTGAGAAAGGCAAAAATTTGTGCTGGGCTGATAGAAGGACGAAAAGTAAACCTCATCCATGCTTTTAGCTCCCTAAATGAGCCATGTGGGGGCATTCTGTCTTTCTCAAATCAGGAACACTGTCAAGGACTAGCTCACATCCCACTTGTACAAACAGTTTTGTCATTTCAAAAATTGCAGCACCTAACACAATGCTTTGCATATAGTGGGTGCTCAGTAAACTTTTATTAAATGAATAAATGTTTGTGGAACTAGGAGTGCTGTTTCTGGGCAGGAAAGTCAGCTGTATTGCCATCATGTCTCGGTTTCAGTATCTCTTGTCATTAGAGGCTCTTTGCTTTTATGAGGGACAGAAGGTGGCTAACCACACCTGATCTCACCAGTATTCTTTGGGACTAGCTAGGTTTTTTGTTTTTGTTTTGTTTTGTTTTGTTTTTGAGCAAGAATAAACCAAGTGAGACTCAGTCACTTGAAGTTTTGAAGACTCAAGGCAGACAGTGAAATTGTTCTCAATGGAGAAGATGAAACTCCTCCAATATTATTTATAGAATTTGATGGTCAGGTGTTTTCGAATCAGCTGAAATATAATCATACATTTCTATTTGAAATCCAGCTTTTCAGTCAGTACTCATTTATTCATGATACAGTAAACATTCTTTGCTCTTTTCCTTTACCTTATATGCTAAAACTCTTGTGATTATTTAAGGGTGAGCTTCTTTCTCAGTCTCAGCTAATAAATATGTGGCCCATGTTGTTATTATATACCACTAATAAACTCAGTGATCTGGTTTTGAAGCCCTTGCCAAATAAGCTACAAATTAGAAGCGGGGGGAATTGCTATTAGCAAGTACCTGGAGACAGTGCTAGCCTGACTGCAGTAAGGGGGAAGAGAAACTTAAAAAAATTTTAACTCAAAGTACAGTAGTTCCATCAATATTCAATGTCAGGACAAATAGCCTTATATTCAGTACAGCAGGACACTGTATGTATTTTACAACATAAGACATATATCAGTGATGTATCCCTAAGTCATTAAACATACAAGATAACTGTTTAGTGTCACCTGTTTAAGAAACAGGAGCAATTACATGACTTTTAGGTAAGTCATAATGGTGCCCCTAAAGGGTATGCTCAGGTATTCTTGTATACCCAGGAAACTTAACCTTCCAAACCAATTTATATACTAAGTGCTTGACCTGTGGGTGAGATTCAGATTGGTGTAAGATTTAATTTGCTATATGTAAATATATTACTTGATTTTTATACAGAATTTCTCCCTAGTGGAAGAGGTTATTCCGAGCTTGTTTTTTTTAACCAATATGAGCAGTACCAGGTTAAGATTGTTAGTGATCTTCCTCAGAAGCATATATGGAATAATCACTATAGTTGTTAGTCTTAATGATTTTAATTTTGTTACCTTCTAGGCTACATGAAGGTATTTTTTTTTTAAATTTACTTTTCACTTTCATTGTCCTAGTGCATTTAGTGTAAGAAAAATCACATAGCTCTAAAAAAGCAACAACACTTTTTCACCCCCCAGAGACAACCACTTTCAACTCTGCTGATTCTCATATTACTTACCTCCTTATCATTAAATAATTTGCTTTATTTTGCTATGTGTTGGTTTTTCAATTTTAGGTATCATCTGATGACTTGGTGGTGTGGAAACTGAGGTTGTAGCTCTTTCACCAGTCTGTGATTCCCATGGACACACATATTCTTACCATCTTATGGTTCAATCATGGTTATGATTTAGATTAGATCACTTATGATTTAGATTAGATCAATATTTCTTACCTTATGGTTTTCTACAACTAGGCCATGTGGTTACTCTTTTTTTCCGACATAACTTTTTGGGGGAGGGTTTTTTTTCTTTATTTGTATTTTGTACCTGATGCTCATTTTTCCCCAAGCTCTCCTTCATTTGTAACAGCATCCTTTCAATATGTTCGGACTTGTTAGGTATTCATTCTTAGAGAGGTCTTCTGTTTTGATATGTTCTAGTTTGGACTGGTTTACATTCTAGATTTGCTACCCAACCTGTTGGGTTGGTGTATCCTTTCACTGTCATATTGTGTTAATATCCTAACTTCCTTCTTAACACCTCTACCTACCTTCCTGAGAAAAAACAGGTGGGAGATAAATTTCTTGAGATCTTGCATGTCTCTTTGTCACACTCAGATGATAGGTTAGCTGCATACAGAGTTCCAGGTTGGGGATAACTTTTCCTTAGAATTATTTTGAAGGTATTGGCCCGTTGTTTTCTGTCTTCTAAATGTTGAGAAGTGCAGTGCTATTATTTTTTTTTTTAATTTTATTTATTTATTTGAGATAGCACAAGCCAGGGGACAGGAGAGGGAGAAGCAGGCTCCCCACTAAGCAGGGAGCCTGGATCATGACCTGAGCTGAAGGCAGACTCTTGACTGAGCCACCCAGGCGCCCTTGCAGTGCTATTCTGATTCTTAATTTTTTTGTATGTGTCCATTCCTCTAACTCCCACCCCAGACCTATTAAGATCCTATCTATGTAATGTTTTGAGATTTTTACCAATGATACACTCGGAAATGGGTCATCCATTGTTCTGGGTACTTTAAAGTATGGAAAATCAAGCTTCGGTTCTGGGAAATTTTCTTTTTTTTTTAAAAGATTTTATTTATTTATTCATGAGAGACAGAGGAGGAGAGAGAGAGAGGGAGGGAGAGAGAGAGAAGCAGAGGGAGAAGCAGGCTCCCAAGGAGCAGGGAGCCCGATGCGGGACTCGATCCCAGGACCCTGGGATCATGACCTGAGCCGAAGGCAGACGCTTAACCATCTGAGCCACCCAGGTGCCCGAAATTTTCTTTTCCTAATTGTGTATTCCCACAGCTTCTCTTTCTGAAAATTAAGTTACTTGGATGTTGGACTTACTGGGTTAGTCTCCTGATAGTCTATATTTACTTTTCTGTTTTCCACCTTTATCCTTCCTTCTGGGACATTTCTGAAACTTTTTTTTTCTAACCTGGTTTCCTTTTTTTCTCCTGTCATTTTTTTTAATGTCCAAAAGCTTTTTAAAAATGTTCCTTTAATATCTTTCATATTAAAGACCTTTTCAAATTCTTGGTTGTCTGCTCTTCTTAGAGAGTGGGGCCCAAAAAGTGGATTGGAAGGTCTGTTTGGGGTTGGGCTCACTAAACGTGGGCCTCTCTCCCATGATCTGGCTGAGTTATCATATTGTTACATAGGAACATATTTCTGTTGTTATATAATTGTTTACATAGGCAATCCCTGATACTAGTATTTTTAGATCTTTCATGTAGGTAAGATTCCCTGAAGAAGGCTTGTATGAGTATATACTCTTAGGGATACGAGGCCAGCTGGCAGATTTCTGGGAGTAAGGTGGGGCAAGAAGGCTTCGAGTTTCAGCCTGATACTGATTGTGCCTGATACTCTCCAGTTAGGATTGGGTTTACCCTCTCAAGTCTTGTACCAGCTTTGGGGAGGAGCAGTTAATTGGGTACACACAGGAGGGAGGGGTTCCAAGGTTCTTTAGGCTTCTTACATAGTCTTTCAACATATCCTCTTTTTAGCCCCACCTTCACCTCCACATTCCATTACCTGGAGTCACTAATCAAACTTGAGCCTTTTGGGAGTTCTGTGATATAAACCAAGTTGCTTTCCTTTCCTATTGATGGCTTTACGATTCATCATTTAAGTTATCACTTATCTGAAATTTTTCAATTTCCAAAATCTTGTTTTTCATACTCCATTCTTGTGGGTTATTGCATTTTACAAATTTACTATTTTTTATTTTTTTAAGATTTTATTTATTTATTCGACAGAGAGAGACACAGCGAGAGAGGGAACACAAGCAGGGGGAGTGGGAGAGGGAGAAGCAGGCTTCCCGTGGAGCAGGGAGCCCGATGCGGGACTCGATCCCAGGACCCTGGGATCATGACCTGAGCCGAAGGCAGACGCTTAACGACTAAGCCACCCAGGCGCCCCAAATTTACTATTTTTTAATTATTATTTTAATATTTACTATTCTAGTAAGGTCTGAGAAGGGAAGAGAGGCTTTTGTGTGCACTGATTCTCTCACATGCTATCTTTAACTGGTGTTCTGCCTGAAATCTGTACCTTTTTTTTTTCAGGCTAAGATACCTTCACTCCACTCATACACAGAAACTGTGCAGGCCCTCCTCTTCCTTTGTTCATATTCTTGCAGCACAGTGTGCAAATGAGAGAAAACGGAGTAAATGACCTGGAAAACTTTATTACATGAAGCCTAATGCTGACATCACGGTTACAAACTTCTCCAGTAAGCACTCTGAAGTGCTCTGGCCTTTTTTTTGGTCCCTGACTTTGCTTTGTGTGTGCTTTTTTGATAATATGTACGCTCATTTTACTCTCTTACTAGTATCACAATCAAGAGCTTTATACTCAAGGTATGTGGCCCAATTTTAAGAACTGGAGAATTTAATGGAGATGATCTTGACACCTTGAGTTCCCAGTCTAGTTCATTGTCAAAGGGGGAATATCTATAGTTTTTCCACATTATTTTGTTCTCAAGTCCCTTTCCCCAGAATTTTCTTTCCCATTTAAACTGGTTACTCTGCATTTAAAATCTGCATCGTAAAATGAGGCCAAACAGTCCTTTGCCTCCACCTGTTTCTTACACACTAAGAATGAGAAAGCAGGTAGGACTCGGCTATGGAGGTGCTGTTCCCTCAAAAAGGTTGGGAAAAGGTATGGTTTTGGAGCCTGGACACAAGACAGAGCAAAACTGGTTATCCTGACACGCTCTCACCACTACAAAAGAGTAGCTTGCTTCAGCTGGATGCCTTCCACCCACACTGCAGCACAGCCAGTCTTGCCAGTCTTTTTTGGGTGCTTCTCGCTCCCGCCACAAAGTTCTTTCATTGTTCACAGGATCGGTTCGCCAACAGCTGTTCCTAGCTTTTCGGCTCTGAGCTGTACCGCATTTTAAAGTTTCAGAAGCAGCACTTCTGAGTACGATTCGCACAATGCTGCCAGGCCGCTGGGCAAGGGGCTCAGAGGGCCGGGCAGGGGGGGCGTGCAGGTCCAGAGCGGCGCGGAGGGCACACGAGCACCGCGCAGCCCACATAGCGTGTGCCGGCATTCGAGGGGGCTTCGGCTCCGCCCTGCAGCCCGAGGGCCGCCCGGCTGCGGGCCACGCGCCGGATACCGGCTCGCGCTTGGGCCCAGAGATCCTTCGCGCTGATGCGCTCGAAAGTTCTTAAACCTCTCCAGCCTGGGTCTCCCCTCGACTCCAAACTAACCCGGGCCTCGCCGGCTAACGCATCCGGCGCGCAGCCCGTTATGGCCATCCTTTAAAGCAACGGGACGAAGGGACGCGCGCTCTCCTGCTTTACGGCAAGGGTGCGCGGGTTTGCGACAGCGTGACGCCGGCAGAGTTTTGGCGGGAAAAGCGCTGCATTTGGATTCCTGTGGTGGCGGGCAAAGGACGGCCTGGTGAGGAGGGGCGGCCGGTAGGGTGGGAAAGCAGCCTGTAGAAGGAGTTCGGGGTCTACATTAGTTGGGAGGGGCATGGCGAGAGAAAGTTATCGGTGACGAGCGAAGGGAATCGGAGAGACTCCCGCTGAGGGGCGGTTTCGGAGGGTGGAGGAGTGTGGGACCGGGGAACCCCGTGGTGGGGGGATTGGAGAGACTACCCCTTTGCCGGCTGAGGACCCCAGAGGTTTGGGCGCCGGCCGTCTAGAGTGCCTGCCAACCCTTCCTTCCGCTTCTGGGGGCAGTTTGGCCCCGCCCCAGGCTCCTCCCGGCCTTTGGGACGGCGTGGGGTGGGTATTGGAGCTGAGCAAGCGGGAGGAGGGGCTGCAGGCGTCCTAGTTAAACTCTGTTCTTCTCCACTAACTGGCAGCCCGTCGCCCGTCTCACCCTCCGTCTGTCCCTAGTCATTCCCCTCAAAGCATATGTGCCCCCAGCTCCTCAGCAGAGCCGCTGCCTTTTCTCAGAGGCCTGAGGAAGGCAGTTTCTGCTTCGTTCTGCGTGGGAATGGGGATGGTGATTTACACCACAGAATGCCAGAATTTAGAATACTTGCTTGTGGTTTAAAGCCTTGGATAAAATACGGATGAGGTGTAAGGGGAAACCAAACTGTTAGTTATATTGAGGGATCATGGCAGATGGTTGACGCTTATCCTCACCCCCATCTTTTCTGGGTTCCTGCCTTTTACAGCCGTGGTGCATCGTGAAGTCATGGCAGTGCCCTTTGTGGAAGACTGGGACTTGGTGCAAACCCTGGGAGAAGGTGCCTATGGAGAGTGAGTTCGAGTCCCTTTACCCTGCCTTCACACTTGCCTTAGATTTCTGTCTGTTGTCTTGAGTACGTATTTGTTGTTTTGGAATTGTTTATTCTAATACAGTGGCATCTTAGAGAACAGATCTTTGCGTTTGAAGTCTACGATTTTTGGAAACTAGAGCCGCACTTTTATAAGGATTAATCCCCCCCCTCTTTTTTTTAAAAAACATTTTCTCTGTAAAGAGCTGGAAGAGACCTGTGAAGTCAGTTTCTCCTCCCACATATTCCATCCTGGGATTTAAGCATAGTGGTTAAATGAGCAAATGAACAGACTCTTGAGTCAGACTGC